CTCCCCCTCCCTCCGCTCCCTATCAGAACGCGTTCGACTCGGAGGACACCCATCTCCACGACTTCACCCAGCCACTCACCCCATGGCTGCTGCTCTGTGCGCTCCCCCATTCCCCCGCTCCCCCCATCCCCTCGCTCCTCCCCCCCCTCTCCCCCTCCCTCCTGCGTGTCACAGAACGCGTTCGACTGGGAGGGCACGCACCTCCACAACTTCACGCAGCCGCTCAGCTCATGGGCGCTGCTCTGTGCACTCCCCCATTCCCCGCTCCTGGGTGCTCATGGGTGCTCTGCGCACTCCCGCCCTCTCTGCCATGTGTACCCTCCCGCCCTCTCTGCCATGTGTACCCTCCCGCCCTCCCCCCCTCCCCTCCCTTTCAGAACGCGTTCGACTGGGAGGACACGCATCTGCACGCCTTCACCCACCCGCTCACCCCATCGCTGCTGCTCTGTGCGTTCCCCCATCCGCTCCCTGCGTTCCGCCTCCCACCCACCCTCCACTCCCCATCAGAACGCGTTCGACTGGGAGGACACCCACCTGCACGACTTCACCCAGCCGCGCCGCCATGCGTGGCGCCGCCTGCTGGACCCCGCGGCCGCCCTGGCGGACGAAATCACCGACTCCGAGGCCGAAGCCGAGGGCGCTACAGCCAAGCTCAAGGAGAAGTCCGCTACAGCCGGTATCAGCGCTGCTACAGCCGACGCTGTGGCTCTCCCGCCCCTCCCCGACACGCAGTACCGGGGGTTTGGGCGCACGGACTTGTCGGCTGTAGCAGAGCTGCTACAGCTGGATTTGGATTCCCTGCCGGCCGGGTTCACCCGCACGTTCAAGACTGTAGCGGGCGCCAAGGAGGAGGCGGCGGACGATTTGATTCTGACCCCGGCGAGCGCGGATCTGGGCGGCAGCGCTGAGGTGGTGTTTGTGGAGCATGCTGACGTGGCGGCGGAGGGAGGAGGGAAGGAGGTGGCGGCGCTGACAGGCCCTGGAGAGGTGAGTGGGGGCGTGAGGGAGTGAGGGGGAGTGGGGTGTGGGGGAGTGTGGGGGAGTGTGGGGGAGTGTGGGGGGGAGTGTGGGGGGAGTGTGGGGGAGTGTGGGGGCAGGAGTGTGGAGGAGAGAGTCTTGTGTGGGGGGCAGGGGGAGGGTTTGTGTGGGGGGGGGGGTCAGGGGGTAACGTGGGGATTTGAGATATCTTTGATTGTTGGAGGCACGAGTGGGTGTGTCTTTAACTCAACAAGTATCACTCCGTCCTCCCCCTCTCCTGCACTCCCGTCCCTGCTCGCCCTTCCTCAAGCCCCCCGCCTGTCTCTTTCCCTCCCCTTCCCCGTCCCCCCGGCGTCCCCCCCGCCTCCCCCCTTCCCCCCCCCCGACCAATCAGGTATTGGATGAGAGGGCGTTCGAAGTGGGGGCAGCATTCGCCAAGACCGACCCGCTGCTCGTGTACCAGTATGACTTCGGCATGAGCTACGAGGTGCACCTCATTTTCGAGGGTAAATTCCCCGCCACGGAGGGGGTGAACTACCCCACGTGCCTGGCGGGAGCGGGTGCGAGCCCTGCAGAGGACGGCAACGATATGGACGACGAGGGGGCGCTGCTGCCGTCGTACGACTACAACGACTTCGCCGTGCTCGATGTGAGTTGCTTGGCTGCCTAGCTGCATTCGATTTGAAGGCATGTTGTACCGCCAGGGATGGTGGAGGGCAAGGAAGGAGGGGGGGGGGTGGGGGGGGGGGGGGAGTAGGGCGGGGGGGGTGTTGACCAGCAGAGGACGGCAACGATATGGACGACGAAGGGGCGCTGCTGCCGTCATGCGACCAAACCGACTTTCCTGTGCTCGATGTGAGTTGCTTGGCTGTGCTTTGAGGGGCCTCGGATCAGCAGAGGACGGGTTGGTTGTGCTTTGATGAGGGGTTGGGGGGCCACAATCAGACGAGTTGGGGGGGCATCATCAGACGACGGCAACGATATGGGCGACGAAGGGGGGGTGCTGCCTTCACCAAATTACAACGACTTTGCCGAGCTCGATGTGAGTTGCTTGGCTGGTCGTTTTGCTGAATGCTTGTCTAAAGCATCTTCTGAGGACGCATAGCCCATGGTGCCTGCCTATTGCAAAAAGTCCTTTTGCCAAACATGGCTTCCCATGTCCTTGTCACTCACTCCATTCTCTCTCCCCCTTCCCATCAGGTGCTTGCCAACTTTGAGAAGACCTTTGAGGACTCGTGGCCCGTGGGGCCAGGGCTCGGAGGACAGCATCGACGCTCCCCGGTGCTACATGTGCAGGTAAGGGCCTGCCGAATCTATGTGTGAGGTATGGCTGTGCCAACTTGCCGACTATGTGCGAGGTATGGCTGTGCCGGCATGCCGAACCAATGAGTGCAGATTGGCCATGCTAGTGGTACTTGTGTAGGGTTTCTTGTGGCAGAGGCGTGAACGTTGTTTAGTTTTGAGACGTCTCAAACGTAAACTACTTACACATGTGTGGGCGTTTTGAATTCCTGACTGTCAGCCAGAGAAGGAACCCATCCTCCTCACGCCCCCCTCCCCTCCCCCCCTCCACCCACCCTCCTCCCCATCCATTTTTTAGGCGCCTCAAAAATAGACCCCCCCCCACCCTCCTCCCCATCCATTTTTTATGCGCCTCAAAAATAGAACCCCCCCACCCTCCTCCCCATCCATTTTTTATACGCCTCAAAAATAGACCCCCCCCCACCCTCCTCCCCATCCATTTTCTCCATAGGTGATTTTCGAGTTCCCTCCCCCCCATCCATACTCCCCCCCTGGCCGCCCTTTGCCCCTCTCAGGTACAACCGCGAGTGCGGGCAGCGCCGGGAATGCACAGGAAAGTGCTGTGGGTACTGCCTGAAGGGTAGAGGAGAGGAGGTTTGTGAGACGCTTAACATTCCCCCTTCCCCCTCGCAAACCCCCCTGCCCTCGCCCCCCGGACCCGCCCCTTGCCTCTCCCAGGTACAACCGCGAGTGCGGGCGGCGCAGGGAGTGCACGGGGAAGTGCTGCGGCTACTGCCTCAAGAATCCGCTGCACCTGCTGGCCGGCTCCATCTCCCTACGGGACGCTGACGCCGCGTATGAGAGCACGGCACGGAAGGTGCTTGAGAGCAAGGTGGCTGAGAGCGCCGAGACCTAGAGCGAGAGTGAGGGGCGAGCGGGAGGGGTGAGCGGGAGGGGGAAGAAGCATGGGGTGGGGTAGCCTCCATTGTCCATCTCTCTCTACGGGAGGCTGACTCGGCTTATGAGAGCACAGCAAGGAAGGTGCGCTGGAGCAGCAGAGCAAGGCTGCTGCTTGAGAATGCTGAGGCTTAGAGAATGAGGGGTGTGGGAAATGGCATGGCATCTGGTGAGCACGAGGCATGGCAAGGGGTTGGCCCCATCCATGAGACTCACATGCGGGCTCATGGGCTTGCTTCCTCTTGCCGATGGTTGATCTGTGGGGGCATGACGTATGGGGTGGGGAGTGATGTTGCGGCATGATGGTTGTCTGAGGTCACAGGTGCACTGATGTAGCTAAACCAAGGGGAGGTATCTTGGGGGGTTCTTAACCATTAAAAATATTATTGTACAGTAGACTGCAATCGACTGCTCATACGGCGGTAGCGGGGGTAAGGTGAACATTTGGAAATCTCATGTAGCATGGGCGTGGTACATGTTATGGTAATCTACATTCATCATATCATTTCACAAGCTGCACTGTATCTTGATTCGTGAAGCACATGGGAACATTACAAGCTAGCAGTGATCGCACACAAGTGCATAGAAAGCACAGTGCCAAACATACCTGCCTGTGTTCTGGAACTGCGGATAGCGCGGATCTGGGCGTCCTTGGTCATTGTGATAAGGCAAAGCTGGTAGGGCGTATTGCGATTCATGATCCCTGAAGGACGCCTGCTGTATGCGCTGCTTGCCCTGCATGCCACTACCAGCTCCTCCACCGTTCCCCTTAAAACCCTCAAATCCCAAACCCCAAGACTGGAACCCGAAGCACCTAAAAAGATATTTGCGATTTCAACAGATCAGAAGCAGCAGTCGCAGTCGAAGGGGCACAGAGCCGTGCCGCCAGCAGTCTTCTTATTCCAACCCAACTCCTCCTCCCCATAAACCCTGTACCCTTCCTGCGTCCGCTTCCTGGGCTTGCTCTCTGCGTCTGCTGCCCCTCCGGCACCTCCTCCCTTCTCTTGCTTCTTCCCTTTTTTCGCAGGTGATTTTCCTTTGGCTTGGGTCTTCGCGTCTGCTTTGCCTTTGTTTCCTTTCTGCCCGCTGCCCGCCGCCCCTTGGTTCTTGTCCTGCTTCGCCTGGTTGAAAATTGCGTCGATGTCGTCGCCCGCTGCCCGCTTTCGCTTGTCTCCCGGCGACGCCTGCGACTCGTTCGCAGGCGTCGCAGCCGTCGCATCGAGGTTCGCAGAGTTAGGGACTGCTGCTGACACCCCTTCTGCGACAGCTGCAGCTTCAGCTGCTGAACCCGCATTTGCCACCTCATCACCACGTGCCGTATCCAGAATCGCTGGAAGTTCGGAGGAGCTCGGTTCATCCCGGTTGGGTGCGTTTCCCGCTTTCTTCTTCCCCTGCTTGCCTTGCTCGGCGGAAGCGACGGACGCCATAGCCGGTCGGCCGCTCCTCGATTTCCCCGCGCTTCCCATCCCTCCCCTAGCACCACTCGCGTCACGCGAATTCGACGCTCGCGAAACGCGTTAAGGACTGCCTCGATACGCTGCTGTGGTGCCCCAGGCGAGGAAGACCCGTGGGATGCGGCTCTTAGGCAGCGAGAGGACTGGCAGCGAAGTGAATCACTCCTGGTGCCTTGGCACAAAACCGTGGTCAAAGGACTCAGCAGTCGGATACAATGAAGGAAAGCGACCGAGGCCGAGGAGAGCAGAGTGCTGCAGAAGACTACTGGTTCGGTATGGGAGGCAGTATGCTCAGAGGAAGGATGAGTTCGTAACGAGGATGAGCTCACACCATGGAGACTCCACTAAAGGAAGTATCTCTCAAAATAAACGGGTGAAACAGGACAAAATTTCCGAAGTTACATGTCTTTGTGCTTTCTACAATATGAAAGCAATCCCCCAGTTTGCCAAGGCCACTCTCGCTACTGGCAATGACAAGAATTATCATTGGCTATCAGCGACAGCAACCCTAACATATGGTGTGCTACATCTTCCCTTCCAATTCTACATTGAGATCCCATCCCTCCCTCTGGGAGCTCCTAGAAACCAATTCTTGCCCTTGCAACTTGCCACATCTCCGCCAAACCAGATTCCAGCATGGATGCTTCCACTCGCCTAAGGACGTGCCAAAGGTCTCCATAGACCCCCAAAGTCTCGCCAAAGCGCCCTTTACATTACAAACATCTCGATAAAAACTCCCTCCCAGCAATCTCTCAGTATCCCGCCGTCATGGCCCATGTATCCCGTACATCAATACCCTTCTTTTTCATCACCCCCATATCAATACCCCCCTCCTCTCCTGCTCCTCGCCTCTCGCCCCGAGTAATTTCTCGACCCCTCCTCCCGGCCATACCCATCCCTATCCCTCTCCCTCTCACTGTAACCTCGATCCCTTCCGTAAGAGCCCTCCCTCCCATACTCCCTGCTTCCACCGTCCCTCTCTCGCGCATACTCCCTCCCCCACTATCCCTCCCATAATCCCAACCCCCCGCAGCACTCTCTCGGTCCCTCCCATACTCTCTGCTGCCCCCCCCACTATCCCTATCCCGCCCATAATCCCGCCCATAGTCCCTGTCTCGAGCCGAATACTCGTTCCTGCTGCCACTGCTTGCGTAGTCATCACCCGAATACCCTCTGCTCCTCGCCCCCCCTCCCACCCCCTCACTAGTACTGCTCCGGCTGGCGCCACCCCTCGCTCCTGCCCTTGCACTCCTACCCCCACCACCACCATCGTCATCAGATGCATCATACTGTGTTTTTGCTGCCGGTCTTCTCTCCTCATCCCCCACGCTCCTCCCCTCCGGCCTCTGCTGCTGCTGGGACAAACCCCCGTCCACCGGCTGATGGTTCGACAGCACCGATTGGACCTGAGAAGACACAGAAGCAGCAGCCACTGCACCAACACCACCAGCACCAGCAGCACCACCAATAGCACCAGCGTCAGCAGCAGCGGAGGAGGCAGCGGGGAGGGGGTCGTCGTGGTCCTCCTGGGAGAAGGAGCGGCGGTGGCGGCTGGGGGAGTCCGAGGGCGATGCTGCCGGGCTGGCTGCTGCTGCGAGCTCCTCTATTGCCTCCAGACACTTGTGCTCGTACCACCAGTCCTCCTGTAGGAGACTGGACGAGTGAAGGGAAAGGGGGGGATGCGTGAGATGGCGACAAGGAACTGACAAAGCAGGCGAGGTTGCTGGGGGGCCTGCTGCCGCGAGCTCCTCTATGGCTCCAGACACCTGTGCTCGTACCACCAGTCCTCATGCAATAAACTAAACACATGAAGGAGAGATGGATGAGATGGTTTGGGGGAAGGGGGTGGGGTGGGGAGGTTAATACGCGTTCGGCCAGCTGCTGCTGCGAGCTCCTCTATGGCCTCTAGGCACAGTGCTCATACCGCACGGACATAGAGGAGCATGATGGCCTTGGTGGCACTGTTCTCCACCACCTCGCTATCCCCTCTTACCGCACTGAACCCACGCAACTACGCTTGGACCTAAGCCCACACACAACCGCCAGGATCTAAGCCCACGCACCTGTTGGGGTCGCCTCCCGTCTGGTCGGTGAAGAGCACGATGGCCTTGGTGGCGCTGTCCTCCGCAACCTTGCGCATGGCCCTGGACGAGTACTTGCCCGCCTTGGCCACTTGCATCACGAAGTACATGTCGAACACGAGCTGGGGGAGGGGGGGGGGGGGAGGAAGGGAGGGGGAAGAGGGGATGAGTCGGCTCCGAAGCCACCGCGCGCATTGCCCTTGCCCTGGACGAGTACTTGCCCGCTCTGGCCCCCTGCATCACGAAGTACATGTCGAACACGAGCTGGGGGAGGGAAGAAAAGGGGGGGCGGGAGAGGGGGGAAGCAACGATGAGTTCCAGTATAGGGAGAACTCCTACGCATGTCTCTCTCCTCTCTGCCGTTTCAATCAACCACCCCACACGCACACGGCTAGATGCAAACAAGCACTCAGTGCCACACCTGCTGCAGGCATGTAGGGCCGAGGGCGTATTCGGCATTCTCAAGCTCGTACCAGAAGGTGCTGTCACTGCTGTGCTGTGCACATGAGCCACCCCGTCGCGACCCACTCTGCCAGACTCTTTTTCCCGCCCTTTCCCCTTCAACCAGCCAGCACGCACAGGCAGACAGCAGAAAGCCATACCCCCACACAGACCCACCTGCTGCAAGCCCGTTGGTCCAAGGGCGTACTCGGCGTTCTCGAGCTCGTCCCAGAAAGTGCTGTGCACCATGAGCCCCATCATGAGCCACTCTGCCAGGCAATACCCCCTTTCCCCCTGAACCGTCCCGCACACAGAGAAACACCCACCTGCTGCAGGCCTGTTGGACCAAGGGCATACTCAGCATTCTCGAGCTCGTCCCAGAAGGTGCTGTGCACCATGAGGCCCATCACGAGCCACTCTGCCAGGATGGCTTCCCCCTGGCTTTCCCCATTCGACCACCCTGGGCACACAGGCGCACTCCACAGAGACCCACCTGCTGCAGGCCAGTGGGGCCAAGGGCGTACTCAGCGTTCTCGAGCTCGTCCCAGAAGGTGCTGTACACCATGAGCCCCATCATGAGCCACTCTGCAAGGCGCATGAGCAGCAGCGTCACCACTCTGTCGCGCCCTCCCAGCACGTAGGTGGCTGTGGAGTGGATGGAGTGCAAGGCCATGTAGAGCGCCTGGCAGGGAGAGGGCGGGGAGGAGAGAGAGGGAGAGGAAGACACGGGTGAAGGAGAGGGCCCATGAGGCCCATCATGAGCCACGCTGCCAGGCGCATGAGCAGCAGCGTCACCTCTCTGTCGCGCGCGCCTAAAACGTAGGTGGCTGTGAAGTGGATGGAGTGCAAGGCCATGTAGAGCGCCTGGCAGGGAGAGGGCGGGGAGGCGAGAGAGGGAGGGAGGCATGGGTGAAAGGGAGGGCCATGAGGCCCATCATGAGCCACTCTGCAAGGCGCATGAGCAGCAGTGTCACCACCACTCTGTGTGGGTGGGTGTGGAGTGGATGGAATGCAAAGCCATGTAGAGCGCCTGAGAGGGAGAGGGCGAGAAGGAGAGACAGAGGCGTGATCAACACATTTTGCTGTATCCCTGCCCAGCACGTATGTGGTTGTGGAGTAAAGGCGTGCAGCAGAGCCATGTAGAGAGCCTGGCAGGGAGAGAAGGCGGAAGGGGAAGAGATAGAACAGTGTGTGTGAGGCATGGCAACCACACCATTCTGCATCCACCAACATGCACACCAAACCAACACACAGATGCTGACCTGGATACCGGATGCTGACCTGGATACCGGATGCTGACCTGCATACCGGATGCTGACCTGGATACCGGATGCTGACCTGGATACCAGATGCTGACCTGGATACCGGATGCTGACCTGGATACCGGATGCTGACCTGGATACCGGATGCTGACCTGGATACCAGATGCTGACCTGGAAAGGCGGCGAGGGCAGGGGCTTCAAGGCCCACTGCGTGGGGCGCATCTTGGCGTCCATGTGGAGGTACTCGTGGGCCGTGAGTATGGGCTTGCCGTCGTCGCCGTACATGAACTCCGCCACCAGGCACGAGCACAGCACGTCCCGCAGCTTGTCCACCGCCTTTTGCAGCCGCCGCCGCCACTCCTTGTGCTCCGCCGCGTTGCTGTCAAGGGGAAGGGGAGGGGGGGGGACAGATGGGGGAAGTTTTGAGGCGCCTCAAAACTGGATGGGGGGAACGGGGATTTACTGTACGGGTGGCGGGGAATTGCCTCGCTTTCTGCAGCCGCCGCCGCCACTCCTTGTGCTCCGCCGCGTTGTTGCCCAGACGGACAACCGTGGGGCGGGGGGGGGAGGAGTGGGAGAGAGAGTGGGGATCAGTGCGGGTGCATTGCCTTCTGCAGCTCGGCCATGGGACCAGCTTTGCCTGCAGGGAGGAGAAACACGCGGCTCTGTTCCCGCTCCTGTTGGAAACACAATGGTAAAACAGATTAAAGCGAGGGCCTCCGGGGCAGGGAAAACGGCAGGATAGCACGACGGGGTGGAGAAAGGGAGCAGAAAGCAATGCAATCCAACGAAAGCGAGCCTCACCGTCCGCCACCGCCCGACAGCCGCCTGTCCTGCTCCACCCCGCCCTGCTTCCTCCCCCCTCTCCCGCCTCCGCCTCCCCCCCCCCCTTCTTCCCCAGCCGCCAGAGTCAGCCTCTGCGCCAGTCTGGGGAGCAGATCATCAGCCAGAGCCGATGCATTCCCCAGCAGAGCCAGCTGCTGCTGCTCGTCCTCTGCGGTGCGCACACTGCCGTCCTGCCATGGCTCCTCCCCTCCCCCATTCGCCTTGTCCTTGTCTTTCTCCCCGGCCTTCCCCTCCTCCCCCTCCTCGTCCTCGTTGTCGTCGTCGTCGGAGGAGGGCGAGGGGAGGGCCTTCTGCAGCAGCGCGACGTACGACTCGAAGAGCGAGGCGAGGCGGTCGAGAATGCGGCCAAACAGCTGCAGGCTGATCACTGGTAAGATGTCCTCCACCAGGTCCTTTGGGGGGGATAGGGGCAACGGGGGAAGGAGGATGGAGTGGTGGGGGGGGAGGAGATTTTTGAGGCGCCTCAAAAACCACCAGGTCCTTTGGGGGGGACAGGGGCAACGGGGGAAGGGGGGAAGGGGGGGAGGAGGATGGAGGGGTGGGGGGGGAGGAGGAGGGAGGGTGGGGGGAAGGAGTGCTTCAACTCGAAGTCAAAGAGGGATTCCAGAAGGTCGCGAATGCGGCTGATAGCTGCAGGCTGATGACTGGTAGAAGGTCTTCGGCCTGGTCCTTTAAGGGGGCAAAAAGGAGAGGAGTTAGGGGGGAGGGGGGGGGAATAGGGAAAAATAGGGTGATTCAACTCGAGATTGAGGGGGAACGCCAGGCGGTCGCGAATGAGGCCAATAGCTGCAGGCTGATGACTGGTAGGACGTCGACCAATAGGCCCTTAAAGAAGGGGAGGAGGAAGAGGTGGGGAGGGCGGAGGGGGGGAAATAAGGTGCTTTAGCTCGAACCTGAAGAGGGATGCCAGGCAGTCGCGAATGCGGCCAAACAGCTGAAAGGTCTGCCGCAGCGCGCGCACCCTGCCAGTGGCGCTTGAATCGTGTGGCAGGGGAAGCAGCAGCAGCCACAAAGGCACACACACCGCATCCCCAAGACATCCCTACCGCTCACTCACCACGAGCAGCATGTAGAACTTTTGGCCGCTGCTGGACAGCTTGAGGTGCATGAGCCCCGGCCCCAGAGTCTGCTGCAGCGCGCGCACCCGGCCTGTGGCGCCTGAGCCGTGCGGCAGCGGCAGCAGGACCCAATCGTCCACAGCCACCATGGTGGCCACCGAGTCCTCAATGCGGATGATGTTGAACTCCAGGGCCTCCTCCACGCTGGGGCGCACCAGCTTGGACAATACTGGGGAGAGGGTGAGACCCTGGTCCTCTAAGAGCCTGTATGGGCGAGGAGGGCAGGAGAGGCAGGGGAGGCAGGGGAGGCAGGGGAGTCCTCGATGCAGATGATGTTGAACTCCAGGGCCTCCTCCACGCTGGGACGGACTAGCTTGGAGAGAACAGGGGATAGAGTCAGGCCCTGGTCCTCCAGTAGTCTGTAAAATGTGGGGCACAGGGACCAGGTAGAAAGTAGGGAGAGGGTACGGGTAGTGGGAAGCCAGGGCGGTGGTGAGGCTTGGAGACAGAGGCAGAGGGGGCAGCAGCACCCAGTTGTCCACGGCCACAATGGTGGCCACCGAGTCCTCAATGCGGATGATGTTGAACTCCAGGGCCTCCTCCACGCTGGACCGGGCCAGCTTTGATAGGACAGGGGAGAGGGTCAGACCCTGGTCCTCCAGTAGTCTGCAGGGCGGGATCGGGGAAGGCAGGGGGCGGGTAGTGGGTAAGGGAGAGGCAGGGGGCAGGCAGGGGGTGGGTTTGGTTTGCTGGCAGTGAGCCGAAAGGGGACAGCGGCAGCAGGACCCAGTCGTCCACGGGCACCATGGTGGCCGCCGAGTCCTCAATGCGGATGATGTTGAACTCCAGGGCCTCCTCCACTCTGAAGCGGACTAGCTTGGAGAATACTGGGGAGAGGGTCAGGGCCTGACCCTCCAGCAATCTGGAGGGAGGGAGGGGGGACCGGGGGCGGCAGGTAGCGGGTAAGGGAGAGGCAGAGGGTAGGGGGCAGGCAGGGGGAGGGGTCGGCTTGCTGGCAGTGCACCCGAAGGAGGCAGGGGTCTATTTTTGACGCGCCTCAGAAGGAGGCAGGGGTCTATTTTTTAGGCGCCTCAGAAGGAGGCAGGGGTCTATTTTTTTAGGCGCCTCAGAAGGAGACAGGGGTCTATTTTTGAGGCACCTCAGAAGAAGGCAGGGGTCTATTTTTAAGGCGCCTCAGAAGGAGGCAGGGGGAGCAGGGACCAACAGTCCACAGCCACCATGGTGGCGAGGCCACTGAGTCCTGGATGCGGATGATGTTGAACTCCAGGGCCTCGCTCAGGCTCTGCTGCAACCAAAGGCGCATGGTGGCTACCACGCAGTTCCCCACCTGCACTCACAGCACCCACCCACCCGCACTGCCCCAGCGCTCTGTGCTTGCATCCAAAGGTCATGTGCAGCCCGCCAGCAGCCGGCTAAGGTGACCAACCACCCACTGCCTAAATTAGAGCACCCACATACCAGCCCACAGCACCCACCCACCCACCTGCAGTGCCCCAGCGCTATGCGCACGCATTCAGCGGCGGCGTGCAGCCCGCCAGCAGCAGCAGCGGAGGAGAGCACGTGGCGCTTGAGCAGCGAGACGCAGAACTCCGTCTCCCTCTGCGCCCACAGCAGCAGGTCCGCCGCACACGAGGGGTCCGACGCGAATATGCGCGCTGAGTCCGTGGCTGCTTGGGATATCGCTGAGAACACCAGCTGGAGGGGGTTCGTGCGTGCGGAGGAAAGATGGGATGTGGGGGGAGAAGTGAGGAGGGGGTTTGGGAAAAGGATAGGGGAACGGGAGAGGGAAAAAGGGTGAGGGAAGAGGTGGGACGAGTGGCAAGCGCAAGGCGAGACGCAGAACTCCGTCTCCCTCGGCGCCCACAGCAGCAGACCCGCTGCGCATGAGGGGTCTGGTGCAAATATGCACGCCGAGTCCGTGGCCGCCTGGAATATTGCTGGGAATACCAGCTGGGGGAAACGGTGGGGAGGAATGAAGAGCGGGGAACTCACTAGACCAGATGACATGAAAGGATATGTGACGGGGGGTGGCAGAGGGGGAGGGGGGGGAGAAAGGGGGCAATGAGAGGGGGAGGGGGGGGAGAGAAAGGGGGCAATGAGAGGGGGAGGGGGGGGGAGAAAGGGGGCAATGAGAGGGGGAGGGGGGGAGAGAAAGGGGGCAATGAGAGGGGGAGGGGGGGAGAGAAAGGGGGCAATGAGAAGGGGAGGGGGGGGAGAAAGGGGGCAATGAGAGGGGGAGGGGGGGGGGAGAAAGGGGCAACGAGAGGGGGAGGGGGGGGGAGAAAGGGGCAATGAGAGGGGGAGGGGGGGGGGAGAAAGGGGCAATGAGAGGGGGAGGGGGGGGGAGAAAGGGGCAATGAGAGGGGGAGGGGGGGGAGAAAGGGGGCAATGAGAGGGGGAGGGGGGGGGGGGAGAAAGGGGGCAATGAGAGGGGGAGATCTGACATCCAACCTCTTCCTCGCCTCCATCTCCTACCTCTCTGCGGCACCAGATTGAGGCTAGAACACAAGGAGGACACCTGAAGCCCCTCTTCCCTTCAACCCCAACCCACATGGGCCATTGCAGCAGCATAGACCCGTCCTTTGACCTGACTACTCACTTCCATTTCCCTCCCTTCCCTCCCTTCCCCCCCCCCCTCCCCTTTCCCCCCCTTCCCCCCTTCTCCCCTTCTCCCTCCCCCAATCACCCCCTCACCTGTGCAAGAGCAGCGGTATACGCCCCGCCAAAGCTCGTCCCCCGGGGCCTCAGCAGCCTCGACCCGCTCCGGATCCTCTCCCCATACGCCGCCAGCAGCAGCTGGTGCGCCCTCTCCGTCTCCCCGAGCCTATACAGCGCGCCCACGGCCTGCCTCAGCTCCTGCCCCCTCACAGCCGCCTGCTGCGCCGTTTCCTCCAGCTGCCCCACCAGCCACGCCCTCCTGTCCGCTATCGCCGTCGCCAGCGCATTCGCGGCCTCCGCACTCAGAATCTCCTCCTCCTCCCCCCCCGCTCCGCCTCCGCCTCCTCTCCCCCCTTCCCCCTCCCCCCCTCCGCCTCCCCCCGCCCCGTCCCCCGCAGTCGCCAGCGCGAGCTGCACGATCTGCTGCCCTGCTCCAGCAGCTCTATAGCGCGGTCGACCTTCCGCTCCGCTATAAGAATATCCAGTATATCTGGCAGAGCCTCCGCGTACTTCTCAATCTCGGTCGGCTCCGGGACCTCCACACTCCACAACCTCTCATCCTCCTCCTCGTCCTGCGGCGTGGCTAACGAGGACGCGTACGACGAGGACGAGGCAGCAGCGAAAGTAGACGAAGTACCGGCAGTGGTAACAGACGAGGCAGTCGAAGCCGGGGTCGAGCTACCACCACCAGCACCAGCACCACCAGCAGCAGCCGCAGCAGCAGCAGCAGAGTTAGCATTGCTGCTGGTTTCGTTGTTCAAGCTATCGGCAGCGAGGGAGTGGATGAGGTTGGTCTGCAGCGAGAGCAGGTTCTTCATCTGCTGCAGCTCCACCTCCAGCTCCGCGATCTCCTTGGACGTGCCGATGAACGCCGTGTAGTTGGCGAACACGCTCTTCCGCATCTCGTCTGCTGATACCCGCCGGTAGTCCGCCAGGTCTCCGACCAGCAGACGGACGCCCTGGCGGAACAAGGAGGGAGGGGGGGGGGAAGGAGAGGAACAAGGGAGTGCTGATGAGCGCCGTGCAGTTGGCAAACACGCACCTGCGCATCTCGTCCGCCGATACCAGTCTGTACTCAGCCAAGTCCCCCACTAGCAGGCGCACGCCCTGGGGGAAACAGGGAGGGGAAGGACCAAGAGGGGATGAACAAGGGGAGATTAACGGCGCGCCGATGAGCGCCGTGCAGTTGGCAAACACGCTCCTGCGCATCTCGTCTGCTGACACTCTCCTGTAGTCCGCCAAGTCCCCCACCAGCAGGCGCACGCCCTGGGAGGGTAAGACGGGCAGCAGGGCGGGAGGCAGGGAGGGAAGCAGGAAGGGAGGCAGGGAGGGAGGCAGGAAGTACGGGAGGGGGAACAAGGAGAGGGGAACAAGGAGAGGGGGAACAAGGAGAGGGGAACAAGGAGAGGGGGAACAAGGAGAGGGGGAACAAGGAGAGGGGGAACAAGGAGAGGGGGAACAAGGAGAGGGGGAACAAGGAGAGGGGGAACAAGGAGAGGGTGAACAAGGAGAGGGTGAACAAGGAGAGGGTGAACAAGGAGAGGGTGAACAAGGAGAGGGTGAACAAGGAGAGGGGGAACAAGGGGAGGGGGAACAAGGGGCGGCAAACGAGGTGCCGATGAACGCGGTGTCACGATCCTGCCATCTCGTCCGCTCATACCCGCCGGTGGTCCGCCAGGTCCCTGACCAGCAGGCGAACTCCCTGGGGGGAAAGGCGGGGAGGGAATTAAGCGGGGGAAGCCAGGGAGGAACAACAAGGGGATATATCAATGCGGTATTCTCCTGCAATGCGCCAGGTGGGCCACCAGCAGCAGCTTCACGCCCTGCGGCAGAGAGACGGTGTTGAGCTCGGTTGAAACAAGGGGAGAAATTATTGAGCTAGAACTGTGCTCCTAGCAGCGAAGCGGGGAAAGGGGACTGCGGTTGGTTAACGGAAGAAGGGGCGTGATTGTGCTCACGGCAGGAGAAGCAAAACAATAGATGAGAGCTCACCCGTTCGTCCATGATCTGCATCTGGTCGTCCACATACTTCTAGTCTTGAGACGTATCAAATCAGAGATGTTTGTACTGCAGCAGAAGCGGATAAAACTATTATAACGAGTATAGCGATTATAGCGTACCCGTTCGTCCATGATCTGCATCTGGTCGTCCACATACTTCTCCGCGTCGAACTTGTCGTGGGAGAAATTCATCCTGACGGCTCGCAGAGTAAAGTGTCTCGTGCAACGGGTGGAGATTATTTACGGAAACCCTAACTGTGGCTTTGCACCGTATTGTAGGCGAATACTTAGCCTTGTATCGCAGTATAACGACTTAAGCTTCGACGTGGAGAATAAAAAGACCTAAACTGGATGCTAGAGCTGGAAATGACTTGCAAGCAGAAAGTCAGAAATTGGGGCACTGGAAATAAGGTTTTTTGCTACACCAGCGGAACCAATGACAGAGTCCGGATTACGAGAGGAAGAAACTGGCTTTCGCAGTTAGTCAACCGGAAAATTGCCATAATAACGGAGAACTACGAGTCTGGCTGGCGATAATGAGCCAAGGCGTCAGTGACGCCGACGCCACTGCTGCAGCGCTACGGTATCTAGTGAAGCATTAGAGACGCGAGAATACATCTGTATGAGGAAAAGAAATCGTACGAAATATTATCTGTATCCTCTCGCTTGTACTGGCCAAAAGTCGCTCATCACCCACAAAATCGACATCTTCACTCAATAGCGCCTTCGCCGGGGGACATCAACGCAAGCATGCTCATAAGGCAGCAATCGCACCGATACGGTCATTCTCACGCTAGGCTTCCCCTAAATATAGCCACTATTCAAAACGCATACTAGCGTTACGATGACCTAATGACAAATCAACGGAGGTACTGCTAACCTAAACCGAGCTGTTGTCAGCCATCAGCCTGATACTCTCGTGATGAACCGCGCTCTCATCCCATCCTGTCTTCGTGCTTTTGCTGTAGCCCGCCGACAGCACCAACCTATGGAACTCCAGAGTCCGGACCTGGCCAGAGAGTGGTGAGGCCTCAGGTGGGAGCGGCAGCCACACATGAGCGCGTGGGCTGGTTTGAAACGATGGATGCATATGTTGTCGGCCTTGCAACGGGGGAGTTCTTAACGAGGATTATCTACGGTTGACTTATTTCAAACCGAAGCGTTGACATTAACCCATGTGTGACGGCTCTACACCCGAGAGTCGCCAGCTTATATAAAGTGGAAAGAGCATATCTATCCACCTAGCACCATGGCAACAAATATAGGTTGATGCATTCGGATCAGGTCTGATGCAAGTCGTACACATACAGTTTTTCTACAAATCTTACCAGCTTGACCACGCCCCAAACAAACCGCACTAGATTTTGCCAGTAATGGGCAAAGTGTTAACCAGAACCATCCACTCTCTCTCAAGCTGCCGTACACATGCAGCTCATGCAGCGGTATACCGTGGTACTCTTCAGCACAATCAGAAGGCAAGGGCAGGAGAAAACTTCATTGGTGTAATGAACCGTCACCAGCCAAGATAACGAGGAGTAAGTGTTCTGGTGATGGTGTTTTGGTACCTTCATCTCCCACCTCTCGTAGGTAACAAGCAGCGCCGGTTGGTGGCAGGCGGTGGGGGGCAGTGACACGTGGTGGTGGGAGGTGACGAGCGGTGATGGGCAGAGGCTGACAGTGGCGGGCACCGGGCAGTGGCGGCCGGTAAGCAGCGGTGGCGGTGACAGCCAGTGCTGGGCCGTGGCGGGTGGTGACAGGCAATGACGGGCAGCGGTGGGCGGTGATGGGTGAGGTGGGGGGTGATATGGGGTGATATTGGGTGACATGGGGTGATACGGGATAACATCAGTGATCTGGGGTGATATAGGGTGACATGGGCTGACATGGGGTGATGTAGGTGATATGGTGTGGGTGATATTGGGGTGATGTAGGGCGATATTGGCTGATATGGGTGATATGGGGTGATATGGGGAGATATGGGTTGATATGGGATAATATGGGATGATATGGGGTGATGCAAGTGATATGGGGTGATGCGGGTGACATGGGGCGATGCTGGTGATACGGGGTGATGCGGGTGATATGGGGTGATGCGAGTGATATGGGTTGATGCGAGTGATATGGGTTGATGCGAGTGATATGGGTTGATGCGGGTGACATGGGGCGATGCGGGTGATATGGGTTGATGTGGCACGCCCCTCGAGTTTCTCATCCCCTTCGTTTGTCTCTCCTATGGGGCGCCGTCCGCTCTCTACATCGACCACACCTTCGGCGCGCCCCCGCTCTCTAGCGCACGCGGGCGGGGTGCGCGGCAGCGGGGGCGGGTCGACGCTCTCTAGCGCACGCCCCGCCCCCGCCGTCGCCGCCTTCTACTCCCTTACCGCCGCAGTCTCCGCCCTGGGTCTGCGTCACAACCTCGCCAAGTGCGAGGCGTGGTCCCCCTCCCAAACCGCCGACCCCGCCCTCCCCGAGGGCCTCTCCCTCTCTACATCTGGCCTCCGCGTCCTCGGCAGTCCCGTGGGCCCCGAGCGGGCGTGCTCCGCCGCCATCCGCAGCCGCCTCGCGGAAGCAGCTGCGCCGCTCCCCCTCCTCGAGAAGCTGGACCCCCAGTCCAGCCTCCTCCTCATCACCCGCTGCCTCTGTCGCCGCGCCTCCTACCTCCTCCGCGCGACTCCCCCTCACCTCCTCCCCAAGGCGGAATGGTCGTGCTTGGGGGAGCGCCTCTTCACCAGGGCGCTAGCTGCGTGCGCGCTGCCAGCTCCAAGGCAAGCGGCGGAGCAGAGGCGGGTATGGACCCAGGCTTCCCTGCCACCGACCCTTGGAGGCCTCGGCATCTCCAATCCCGCCGGCTACGGCGCCCACTGCTACCTGACCTCGGTAGCCGCAGCCGCCCACCTGCTCGGGGACATGGTGGGGCGCCTGCACCCCCCGCTCGCCAACCTCCTCCCCCTGTTCACACTCTCCCCGGACGCCGCCCCACCGCTGCCACGCCTCTTCGCCCCCCTCGAGGCCCAACTGCCCGCGTCTGCCGCTGCCACCCTCCGCGAGGAACGCGCCTCGACAGATCCGCCCAAGGTGCAGCGGGACTTAGTGCTGGAGGTCCAAGCCTCCCGCTTCACCGCCCTCCTAGAGGAGAGCCGCCGCCTCCATCCTAACCCCCTCATGGGGCACACGCAACGGATCCTCTCTCTCCTTGGGCCAGGGGCGGGAGATTGGCTCATCGCCATCCCCTTTTCTCCCGTCCTCCGCCTCGCCCCCGCCCACCTCGCCTTCGTCGTCGCCTTCCGCCTCGGCCTGCCGCACAATGTCCCCAGAGTCCCCCGACTGTCAAATTAACTGACCGAGACAGAGCGGCAGACCAATCTGAGCGGCTGTGCGACAATCTGAGCGGCTGTGCGACACGGAGCTGTGGTGCGAAACGAAGCGGCTCGTAGTGCGAAACAGAGCGTCTCGGCCAAAACTCAGCGATTGGCCCAGCCAAACTGAATACCCTCTGACAATCTCAACGGCCCCACAGCTCCTTCACGAGAGCTACACAGAAACGCGTGTACAAGTATAAAAGAAACAATTATATTCAACAAACAAAAACTCCAAACGTTTACATTTGCCATCATTTTCGCAAATAACTCCTTTGTCTCATATCTTACACTCGAGCACAAGCGCGCCAGATCTTTCCATAAGACCCATACCACCTTACGATACGTGGCTAGACCAGCTATGCCACATTTCTCGGGCAGAAAACCATAACTCAACCACCCCATTCATCCTCTAACTCCTTGCCGCCACATTCACAGCCTCAACCCTTTCCCTCTCGCCTGCATCCTCACATGCAGATCCACATTCCTAGAAACAGCCCGCGCCAGCAGCTTTACCATCGGGGAACATGTGGCGCCAGCAGCAGTGGCGCGAATAGCGCGGGAAGCCCGGCGTCTGAGAGGAGTTGAATGTGGTGCGCCGTGTGGCGGCCGTCTGGCATGGTGAGCTGCAGCAGAGCAAAGGATGCGCAGGCTCGCAGGGTCGAGGAGGGGTTGCGTAACATGGCGACAAACCGGTTGATCTCCGCAGCACTGGGGGGCAGGGGCGGGGGGGAGAAGGGGGGGGGGGAGGGGGAGGAAAGGGAGATGTGAATTGCAGGAGAGCCAAGGCTGCACAGGCTTGCAGGGTCGAGGAGGGATTGCGTAGCATGGCCACAAACCGGGTGATTGCCGAAGCTCTGGGGAGAGGAGGGGGGAGGTGGGCGGTGGGGACGAGGGAAGTGGAGGGAAGCGGTGAGCTGCAGAAGAGCAAATGCTGCAGACACTCGTAGGGTGGTGAAAGGTCACTGACACTGATACTGACACTGCCACTGACACTGACACTGACACTGACATTGACGTTGTATTGTGCAGCAGGGCAACAAGGCACTGACCTGTATCTAAGCAGCCCTGCCTCCTGGATCCAGCAGCTGTGGGAGAAGGCCAGCAGAGCAGCATCATCCGCTGCTGCTGCTGCTTTTGCTTTCAAACCGTGCTGCAAGCGGGAATGATGTTGCAGGCATTGTAGTACACGTCTACAGACACCAAGGCACTGACCTGCATCCGAGCAGCCAAGGCACTGACCTGCATCCGAGCAGCCAAGGCACTGACCTGCATCCGAGCAGCCAAGGCACTGACCTGCATCCGAGCAGCCAAGGCACTGACCTGCATCCGAGCAGCCAAGGCACTGACCTGCATCCGAGCAGCCAAGGCACTGACCTGCATCCGAGCAGCCAAGGCACTGACCTGCATCCGAGCAGCCAAGGCACTGACCTGCATCCGAGCAGCCAAGGCACTGACCTGCATCCGAGCAGCCAAGGCACTGACCTGCATCCGAGCAGCCAAGGCACTGACCTGCATCCGAGCAGCCAAGGCACTGACCTGCATCCGAGCAGCCAAGGCACTGACCTGCATCCGAGCAGCCAAGGCACTGACCTGCATCCGAGCAGCCAAGGCACTGACCTGCATCCGAGCAGCCAAGGCACTGACCTGCATCCGAGCAGCCAAGGCACTGACCTGCATCCGAGCAGCCAAGGCACTGACCTGCATCCGAGCAGCCAAGGCACTGACCTGCATCCGAGCAGCCAAGGCACTGACCTGCATCCGAGCAGCCAAGGCACTGACCTGCATCCGAGCAGCCAAGGCACTGACCTCCATCCGAGCAGCCAAGGCACTGACCTGCATCCGAGCAGCCAAGGCACTGACCTGCATCCGAGCAGCCAAGGCACTGACCTGCATCCGAGCAGCCAAGGCACTGACCTGCATCCGAGCAGCCAAGGCACTGACCTGCATCCGAGCAGCCAAGGCACTGACCTGCATCCGAGCAGCCAAGGCACTGACCTGCATCCGAGCAGCCAAGGCACTGACCTGCATCCGAGCAGCCAAGGCACTGACCTGCATCCGAGCAGCCAAGGCACTGACCTGCATCCGAGCAGCCAAGGCACTGACCTGCATCCGAGCAGCCAAGGCACTGACCTGCATCCGAGCAGCCAAGGCACTGACCTGCATCCGAGCAGCCAAGGCACTGACCTGCATCCGAGCAGCCAAGGCACTGACCTGCATCCGAGCAGCCAAGGCACTGACCTGCATCCGAGCAGCCAAGGCACTGACCTGCATCCGAGCAGCCAAGGCACTGACCTGCATCTGAGCAGCCCTGCCTCTTGAATCCGGCAGCTGTGGGAGAAGGCCAGCAGAGCAGCATCATCCGCTGCTGCTCGTGCCTCCAGGTGCCGCATGAACGTTGCTGACATCGGTGGGGGCACGTTGTCCGAACTGGCACCTGAAGAAACACCTGAAGCACCAGACGGACCAGCAGCAGGGGAGGTGACGCCAGGGGTGCGGGGAAGCCCACCCCGAGCCGCAGAAGCAGGTGTGGCCGGACCAGTCGCACCTCTACCGAGCCGTAGCTCATCACTCTCCTCATCAGAGTCCGATCCAGCTGCTCCCCTCCCTCTCCCTCTCCCTCGCCCCCTTCCTGCCCGTCTGCTTCTGGTTGCTGTTGCAGGAAGCCACTCCTCCTCGTTCTCCTCCGCCTCCTCCTCCCCCTCCTCATCGCGCCATGCTGAGGCCCTCCTCTTTCTAGACCTCCCCCCTCTCTGCCCGCTCCCTCCGCCCCAGCACTCCTCATCCTCCTCCCCTTCCTCAACCTTCCTCCTCTCCCTCTCTCTCTCCCGCGCTCGCTCCGTCGCCCTTTCCGCCTCCTCTCTCTCGTGTATGAAGCACCTCAGAAACCACTCGACGGTGTGGAAGCCTAGCTGCTGCTGCAGCTCCAAGGTTGGGGGATAGTCTATCTGGGGGGCTGCTGCTGCTGCTGCAGCAGCCATTTCAGAAGACTTGCTGCAGGGTGTGTATGTGGGTTGGGTAGGAGGGAGAGCAGAAAAAGAGGGGCAATAAGAGCGAGGAGGGTGCTGCTGCCGTCGCTGCTGTGGCCATTCCAGAAGCCTTGCTGCAGCGTGTGTATGTATGTGGATTCGGGAGCACGGAGAGCAAAAAAAAAGGGTAGCGTGAGTGGGGAGGGGGGTGGTCCAGCAGGGGGGCTGCTGCTTCCATTTCAGAAGCTTTGCTGCAGAGAGTGTAAATGGGTTTGGGAGCAGGGAGAGCAAGGATAGGGGGTAGTGTGAGCTTGGGATGGTATAGCTGGAGTACTGCTACTGCCTGCCGCTGTGGCAATTTCTGCTGCTTTGCTACAAGCAGGGGAATGCAAGGCGTGCAAGGAAGGGCGCTACAGATCAGGGATGGGAAGGGGAGATGATAAGATAAGAGGTGAGGTGCTGATGCTGCCGTCTATGTAGATGAGTTCCGCAGAAGGCATGTGGTGAACCGTGCAGGAGAGGGGTGGGGCAAGCTACGAGGTGCAAGAGAAGGGGGATAGTTACACGAGAAGATATCATCTCGTCCACTAGGAGGCTCACCTGCCATCGAAGATATATGCGAGCGCAAGAGTGGCCATGAATCCAGCCATCGGCGAGGAAACTCTCCAAGGCAGAACTTGCAACTGCGGAGCAGCAGCAGCAGCAGCAGCAGCAGCACCAGCAGCAGCAGCAGCAGCACCAGCAGCAGCAGCACCGGCAGCACCAGCACCGCCAGCACCGGCAGCACCAGCAGCAACACCAGCAGCAACAGCACGAATGGCAGCAGCAGCAATTGCAACAGCACGAGCACCGGCAGCACCGGCAGCACCAGCAGCAGCAGCAGCAGCAGCAGCTGCAGCAGCAGCACGAATGGCAGCGGCAGCAATAGCATCAGCACCAGTACGAGCAGCAGCAGCACGAACAGCATCAGCAGCAATTGCAGCAGCATCAGCACCAGCACCAGCAGCCGCAGCACCACCAGCAGCAGCACCAGCAGCACCAACATCCCCAGCAGCAATACCAGCCGCCGCAGCACGAACAGCAGCAGCAGCAACCGCTGCTGCTGCAGGAGCAGCAAGGTTGCGATGAATAGGCATGGGAAGTGGTGGAGCACCGGTGCGAGCAGGAGGAGGGGGCGGCCTTTGAGGCAACAAATACTGCCAACCACCACCAGTAGCAGCACCACCATCAGCAAGAGCAGCAACAGCACCGGCAAAACCAGTGGGAGCAGAGGATGGCGCAGCGTGGGTGGTGGTGGCGTTTCTAGGGGTAGACGCAGAGGCGGAGGAGGAGGAAGAGGAGGGGCAAGGGAATGTGCCGAGGTGGTCTACGGCGGAAGGCGGCAGGGAGGCAACGATGATTGAGGCAATGATTGGCACGCCACTGTTCACGAGAATGTAAGCGGCGTTGGTTGGATTGAAGGCTAGATTCCAAAGCGCGCCAGTGGCTGTCTCCTGGACCTCCTGGAAGGGGTTTGAGATAGGGAGAATTGTCGAGGTATTGGGAAGAAGGAAATAGTAAAAACAGGGAAATTTTAGCACAGAAAACGGTAATTTGAGCACAGAAAACGGTAATTTTAGCACATAAAACGGTAATTTGAGCACAGAAAACGGTAATTACTGACAAGGTAAGCACATGAAAAAGGCATCAACTGTACGATTTCAGAACCCCCTCACACCCATAACCCCCTCATACTGACAGCATAACCCCCCCATGCCCACTCACCAGCTTTTGTGCTTGCGCGAGCCTAAGCAGCGACTCCACCCCTCCTGCTTGCCCAATGGCAACGCTGCACACACACACAGAGACAGGGAGGGACCAGCAAGGGCAGAGTGGTTTACCGTTTTTTTTTCATATATAATTATAATAAACACTAAGCAGCACGCCTCCTGCTTGCCTAATGGTGACGCTGCACACACACACACACACAAGGAGGGGCCAGTAACAGAATGAGTGGATGGGAGGAATGAGTGGATGGCAAATCATTCAGCCAACTGCAACCACGCATTTGATTAAAAAACAAACACCCAACCGACCTGTTGGCTTTGGAGACAGAGAGAGCACCCATAGCGCCCCTGCTGCTCTCTCTGTGTGCCCTCTGCCACCCCTGGCAGGCACGACTCCCGGGCTAAACTTAACCTCACTACTGTTTCCAGTACACATGTAACACTACCAGGAAACACGCACCCGCTTGCTTCAGAGGCAGAAGGCCCCCATAACGCCCCTGCCGCTCTCTCCTGTGTGCCCTCCTCTGCTATCCCTGCCAGGCCCATCTCCTGGGCTAGCCTAACCTCACTAGTGTAACATCAGTGAGACACGCATGCCTCATAACCAGCAGACACGCACCTGTTGGCTTCAGACACCGAGAGCCCCCATAGCGCCCCTGCTGCTCGCTCCTGTGTGTCCTCTGCCGCCCCGGGCAGGCACGACTCCCGGGCTAACAGTAGCCTCACTACTGTACCCAGTACACACGTACGTGCACACAGACACCTGGAGACATGCACCAGCAGACACATACCTGTTGGCTTCAGACACAGTGAGCCCCCACAGTGCCCCTGCTGCTCTCTCCTGTGTGTCCTCTGCTGCCCCTGGCAAGCACGACTCCCGGGCTAGCCTAACCTCACTAGTGTAACCATTACACATGTAACGTTACCAGGAAACACGCACCTGTTGGTTTCAGACACCGACAGGCCCCATAGCGCCCCTGCTGCTCTCTCCTGTGTGTCTTCTGCCGCCCCTGGCAGGCACGATTCCCGGGCTAGCCGAACCAACGCCTCCACGCCCCCCGCTGCTGCTATGGCCTCCCTGTTGCTGTCATCGAATGACAGGTTCCACAACGCGCCTGCCCCCTCTTGCCTGTTGGGAGTGGGAGTGCCGCGTGCACATATGCCATGTATGACAAGGGAAGACAAGAGAGTCAAGGCCAGGGTCAGCAGCACGCCCCCTGCTGCTGCTATGGCCTCCCTGTTGCTGTCGTTGAATTATAGGTTCCACAACGCGCCTGCCCCCTCTTGCCTGCATCGGGAGTGCGTAAGGGAAGGGAAGAGAGACCAGGAGCGCTGCTGCTGCTCCCACAGCAGCAAAAGATTGGATGCTTCTAGGTATTTGAGGCGCCTCAAAAAAGCTGTCGTCGAATGATAGGCTCCACTCCACAACGCGTTGGGTGTGTGCATGGGGTGTGTGCATGGGGTGTGTGCATGGGGTGTGTGCATGGGGTGTGTGCATGGGGTTGTTGTAGTGTTGCTCCTTCAGGTTGGAGGCCCTACCCATCCCACACACCCCATACCTGATGCTCTCATCCGGGGACTGTAGCAGTTTTTGAGGCGCCTAAAAAAAAGATGCTCTCATTCGGGGACTGTAGCAGTGCCACCAGCGAGGGGATGGCGGACGTCTATTTTTGAGGCGCCTAAAAAAAACCATGCGTGAGGAGTCTATTTTTGAGGCGCCTAAAAAAACACACCCCATATCTGATGCTCTCATTCGGGGAATGTAGCAGCGCCACCAGCGAGGGGATGGCGGACGGCTCAGTGCCCACAGCAACGGAGTTGTGGTTGCTGTCGCCATGTGCCGCCAGGTTGGCCAGCGCCCTGGCCGCCTGCTCCAACACGAGGTCGTGCTGGCAGTGCTGCAGCAAGGGGCGGCCCCTACCCCCCACAGCCACCTACCTTTGAGGCCCTTACCCCCCAAACCACCTTCACTGGAAGCCCTACCCCCACACACACCCCATACCTGATGCTCTCGTTGGGGGACTGCAGCAGCGCCATGCGCTGCCAGACAGCTAGTCTCAACTGAAGGCCCTACCCCTACAACCACCGCCACCCACCTGATGCTCTTGTTGGGGGACTGCAGCAGTGAAACTAGTGACGGGATCGCCTCAGGCTCAGTGCCCACAGCCACGAAGTTGCGGTTGCTGTCGCCATGCGCCGCCAGGTTGGCGAGCGCCCTGGCCGCCTGCTCCAACACGAGGTCGTGCTGGCAGTGCTGCACGGAGGGGTGGCCCCTACCCCCACACCCACCTACCCTATGTTGGAAAAAACCCAGATTTGGTTTTGCGTTTATACGCGAGTAAAATTCGTACGCTGCATTTTGGGTGGAGATTCGCTGAAAAACGCACGGGCTGACCGCAGAATTTGTTTTCCCCCGCAACAGGTCGCGACTAGGCGAAAAAACAGGGGTTTTGCACATCGTCAATTCAACTGCACGGAATTGGGGGCTGACGACAAAAGCGGCACATCGCAAACTCGAATTGAGTTTGTGGCTTGAACTCCCAACCCCAAAAGGCTTCCCCACCGCATTCAATCTCTCCATACGTTTCCAACCCAACCGATTGTGGTTTTAACTCCAATCCCAAAAAGCTTCCCCGCTGCATTCAATCTCACATCACCTCCCTTTCCCAACCTTTCTGCTGTATGACAATTGATGACTCACCAGAGTCCTGACGCAGAGGAGCAGCACCTAGCCTAATTCCGCGTCGTAACTCTCTAGCAAAGCTCCCTCCCTTAGTTCTCGCCCCGTTGTTCTTAGCTCGCCAGGAGAAATGTTGACCTGTTCCTACCACTCCTCCTAACGCAACAAATTTTCCTGCCTGCAATATTTTTTCCCCTGCCCGAACCTTCGTATTTCGTGCGTACCGCATACCCCCTTTCCAAGCGTATTGCGTATAAATGCTTATGTATATACGCTGGCGTACAAAACCCCCCCCTAACCACCTTCATTGGAAGCCTTACCCCCACACACACACACACACCCCATACCTGATGCTCTCGTTGGGGGACTGCAGCAGTGAAACTAGTGACGGGATCGCCTCAGGCTCCGTGCCCACAGCCACAGAGTTGCGGTTGCTGTCGCCATGCGCTGCCAGGTTGGCCAGCGCCCTGGCCGCCTGCTCCAAGACGAGGTCGTGCTGGCAGTGCTGCAGCAGACACACGAGAGCCTTCACACCCCCCCTTGCCACTATGCTCGTGCTGCAGGCGTCGTCCACTGCTAGGTTGGCCAACGCCCCTGTCACCCGCTCCTGACCGTATGGGAGGGGGGAGAGATGCGGAGAGGGGGAAAGGAGCGGCATAAGCAGGGGGAGGGACACGGGGAAGGGCAAGGTGAGTGGTGAGTGGCGGCACGTTGGCTTGGCAAGCGCCCTGGCTGCCTGCTCTAGCACGAGGTGGCGGAGGGCTCAGCCCCCCCAGCAGCCTGCTCCAACACGAGGTCGTGCTGGCAGTGCTGCAGCAGCCGCACGAGAGCCTTCACTCCCCCTCTTGCCACCATGCTCGTGCTGCAGGCGTCGTCCACTGCTAGGTTGGCCAGCGCCCGTCACCCGCTCCTGATAATGAGGGGAACGGGAGAACGGGTGCGGAGAGGGGGAAGGGAGCGGCATAGGCAGGGGGAGCGGAAGGGGCAGGGGGGGTAGTGAGCGGTGGCAGATTGGCGAGCGCCTTGACCGCCTGCTCCAACACGAGGTCGTGCTGGCAGTGCTGCAGCAGCCACACGAGGGCTCTCACTCCCCCCCACGCCACTATGCTCGTGCTGCAGGCGTCGTCCACCCCGTCACCCGCTCCTGTAGAAAGGATGAGCAAGAGGTGGCGACAGGGGAAAGGCGGGAGTCTATTTTTGAGGCGCCTCAAAGAAAGGGGTGGCGACAGGGACAGGCCGGATAGGGAGACGGCGGCGATGATGAGACGAGAGGAAAGGAGTTGGCAGGAAAGGGGAGTCGACAGGAAGGGAGAGAGTTTGAGACGTCTCAGTTTTAGTGAAGTCAGGAAGACAGGAAGACATGACGACAGGCAGAACAGGCGGACTCACGAGGATGCAGTCCCCTGGGAGGCCCACTGCAGGAGGAGGAGCCAAGGCCATGATGTCAACCAACGTGTCGATGCCCCCTGCTTGCATGATGTACGTCTGTGGGACATAAGGGGGAGGGGGAAGGGGAAGGGGCGGGAAGGGAGGGCCCTATTTTTTAGGTGCATCACAAATGGAAGAGCCGAGGGGCCATGATGTCAACCAACGTGTTGATGCCCCCCGCCTGCATAATGTACGTCTGTGGGGCATAAGGGGGCGGGGAGGAGGGGGGAGGGGGGGGAACAGCACAGCACAGGAAGGGAAATCAAGAAGGCCGGCCCAATAGTCCACCTTTGCATTCATCCCATGTGGAATTATATGAGTTCGCATACCTGGGAGGCAGACTACATGATTTCATTCACAGAGAAGTTGCAGAGCGGCCCTTCAGCAACCTCCGCCAGACAGCATCCGCACTCCCCCCACCACACACCCACCAAGCCCTCACATTCCATTCCTCCCCCGCCCTCACCTTGTATTCGTCCGCCACAGATAGGTTCCACAGAGCTCCAGCTGCTGCCCCTGCGATACAGCCGTTGGGGGTGAGGGAGGAGGGAGAGCAGCACGCCCACCCGCCCACCCTTCAGTCGCACGTCTCCCTTTACCACACTCCTATGCCTTGTTCTATGTTGCATTCACCCCCTCCCCTCACCTTGTATTCATCAGCCACAGATAAGTTCCAGAGCGCCCCTGCAGCAGCCTCCGCGATACAGCCGTTGGGGAGGGGGAGGAGGGAGAGCAGCACGCCCACCCCGCCCACCCTCACCACCTCCCTCGCCACATCCACACTAACAGACAAATTCGCCAGGGCCTGGAGGATTGGGGAGGGGGCAAAGAGAAAGGAGGGAGTTGAAGGGATAGCTTGTGCAAGGCGCATCCCACCCTCCTCACCACCTCCCTCGCCACGTCCACACTCACACTCACAGACAGATTCGCTAGGGCCTAACGGGGAGCGGAACCGGGGGGGGGGGGAAGAGAGGGGAAAGGGCCAGCTTGTGCAAGACACCTCCCACCCGCAACCACTTCCCTCGCCACGTCCACATTCACTGACAGAATTCGCCAGGGCCTAACGGGGGGGGGGAAGAAGGACCGCACGAGTATGTGTGAGGGTGAAGGGATAGCAGAGGGACATCTGAAATACTGCCCACTCTCTCCACGTCCACACTCACTCACAGATTCGCCAGGGCCTAATGTGGAGGACGGGGAGGAGGGGGGGGGTGGGGATGCGTATGCGTGAACAGAAAAGCTACAACATGTAAGCTTGTTCGAGACCCCCCCCCATCGTTCCTTTAAAACTTCATCCCCGATCGTAGCTTAGACGCCTCGAATCTCGGCCCCCTCCGCTCCATGTGTGCCTGCCATGCGAACCAGAGTCTCCACTCCACTCCACTCCACGCCGCCCCCTCGCACGAACTCCATAACCCTCCTGCTGCTCCCTTCCTCGCTCACTCCGAACCCCATGCCCCACGCTCAGCCTTCTAGTCCGTCCCTGACACAACTCCCTTTCATGCCTTGGTCGCCTCGTATCTCGGCCCTTCTCGCCCTTGCCTTCCTGCCATCCGAACCACAGTCTCCACTCCGCCCCCCTCGCACGAACGCCCTCACCCTCCCGCTGCTTGCCTCCCCACCTTACTCCTAACCCAACGCCCCACGCACTCATCCTTCTAGTCCACTTCATACCTTAGTCGTCTCGAACCTCGGCCTTCTCGGTCCATGAGTGCCTGCAATCCGAACCAGAGTCTCCACTCCGCCCCTCGCACGAATACCCTCACCCTCCCACTGCTCCCTGCCCCGCTCACTTCAGACCCCAAACCCCATGCAAATAACCTTCTAGTCCCTTGCATACCCCCCTTGCGTACCTCATTGCGAACCTCCTTTGCATACCCCCTGCATACCTTGGTCGCCTCGAATCTTGGCCCCTCCGGTCCGTGCCTGCCTGCCATGCGAACCAGCGTCTCCACGCCTCCCCCTCTCACGAACGCCCTCACCCTCCCACTGCTCACCGCCTCCCCTCCGCTCTGCTCGCGTCACTCCAAAATCCCCACTCCCCTCCCCCTCCTGCTTCTCCCCTTACTCCCCCTGCCGCTCCTCCCACACCCCTCCTCCTCCTCCTCCTCCTCCTCCTCCTCCTCCTCCTCTCCTCCTCCTCCTCCTCCTCCTCCTCCTCCTCTCCTCCTCCTCCTCCTCCTCCTCCTCTCCTCCTCCCCACCCTGCACCCTCAGCATCCCCCCCACCCCTTCTCTCCCGCCCATTCCTCCTACCCCTGCACCCGCCACCGCTCCTCCCACACCCCTCCTCCTCCAACCCCACCTCCCCCTACTCTCCGGCCAGCTCCTCTCCCTCCCTGGCCCCATCCCACTTCTCCCTCCTCTTCCTCCTCCCCTCCCCTCTTCCTCCTCCTCGTCCTCCAACCCAGCCCCTATGGAATCCGCAACCACGAACACCCCTACAGTGGCTGCAGCTCTCTCGCGCACCTCCTGCTGCCGGCTCTGCAGCAGCAGCAGCACGGCAGGGATGCCCTGAGTCACCCAGAAATCCTCCCTCGGCTCCCACCCTCTCCCTGCTGCTCCTCCTGCTCCTGCTGCCCTTCCTGCTCCTCCTGCTCCCCTCGCTGCCTCGCCCCTTCCCCCCTCTTTCTCCTCCTCCTCCTACTGCCCCGTCCGCCCCTCGTCTTCCCCGTCCCGCTCCTCCCCCTCCTGCTCCTCCTCCCCCTCCTCCCCCTAGTCCTCCCCACTCCACCCCATCCCCTTCGCCGCCCATCGGCTCTAATCTCTCTGCCAGGGAGTGCAGAGATCGGACCAGAATCAGCTCCATCCAATCAGAGAGCTCCACGCAAGCGCTCCTGGGCCCACCGCCCCCCAGAGCCCCGGTGATTTCGAGCACTAGAGCTCTGAGCTGTCCATCATCCGAGGCAGCTGCTGCAGCCTCTGATGCAGATGTGGCTGGGTGCACGGGTGTGTATTCCGCCTCCTGTCTCGCTGGGGTGCTTGCTGCTGCCGCTGCCGCTGCCGCTGCCGCTGCTGCTGCCGCTGCTGCTGTGGTTGTTGCTCCGGATGGTGTTGCTGTTGCTGGCACTGCTCGTGCTGCTTCGGCAGCAGTACCTGCTCCTACTGCAGGTGCTGCTGCTACTTGTGGTGTTGCCACAGCCTCTACTTCTGCTGCTCCTCTTCCCC